CCTTTGAGCCGTCAACAGTCCACTTGTCAAACTGTTCTATTGCCGACGGCCTCAGTGAAGGTGTACAATCCGAGTGGCAACTGTTTAACGGGTCGCGCTTTATTGGATTCGGGTTCACAAAGTTGTGTGGCCTCCACTTGGTTGGTGGGAAGACTAGGGCTCCCCTGGAGCTCTGAATCACGTCCAACGATAGGTGTCGGAGGTGCCGAGCCTCCTGCTCCTCGGAGACGATCGGAGTTGGTGTTTGTGAGTAAAAAGGTGAATTTAATATACTCTTTGAATACGAGTACATATGTTTTTGTAAATATATTTAATCATTATGTTTGCTTTGTTGAGGGGAAAATTGAAATTGTGTAACACTGTTTGTGCCGAAAGAAATAAAAATCAATCCTCTTTTTTTCACATTTTTATTGGCGTTCTCGAAGATATTCGTTTTGGAAAAAAATATGGCTATCTCTTATGTTTATCGTTTTGCTTAATTTATCTGTTTTGATCTATGCGCATCGAGAAATAAATTTATTACAATTTATTTTCAAGTTTTACATAGTAGTTTGAGTATTGATGCTTTTGAAACTTGGTTGAAATATAAGCATAGTACTACATGTTTAAAAAGGCTAGCTAGTTAGGATATTATCAGATTGAAATCAGCTATTGCACAATTACGTAAATGGTTATATAGTAGATGGCTTGATTATGTCTACTTGCGTGAACAAAATCATACTAAGGCCTATCTGTGCGTTTTCGTGTGCCTCGCCTCTAAGGCCGTTCACTTAGAGATTGTGGGTGCCCTCAGTACTGAAGCCTCTGTGGCCACGCTGGGCCGCTTCGTATCGCGTCGCGGTTTGCCGGACCTGATCCGGTCTGATTGCGGAACGAATTATAAGGGCACGGATAGATATTTGAAAGAGGTCGTCGAATTTCTGTCCAGCAACAGGACTTATTTAGGTACTTCTATGTCCAAGAGGGGCATCCAGTGGAAATTCGGCCCTCCGGCTTGCCCATACTGGAGCGGTATTTTTGATGCGGTGGCTAAGGTTGCAAAAACGAACCTCCATCGCGTTATTGGCGAAACTATTTTGACATTTGAGGAGCTTGCCACTGTATTCTGTAAAATTGAGGCGGTACTCAACTCTCGGCCCCTCTGTCCCCTCTCGTCCAATCCGAATGATTTGGAGGTTCTAACCCCGGGCCACTTCCTGATTGGTCAGCCGCTTAACGCCCTGCCGGAGTACCCCTTCAGGGAACTAAACTCTTCGCGGTTGAGCAGATTTGACCTGCTGCAACAGATGACTCAGAGTTTTTGGCACCGAGGGTCTCTGGAGTACCTACATCATTTGCAGCAGCGCGCTAAGTGGTCTGACAAGACAGATCCTCATCGGGTTGGATACCTCGTGTTAGTTAAAGAACCCAACGCTTTGCCTTTGTATTGGCGCCGTGGGCGCATTGTTGAGTTGTCGTATGGATCTGATGGGGTGCCTAGGGTGGCCGAGGTTTTGGTTGGAGATTCGGTCTTGCAACGTGCCGTCGCGACCCTATGTCCTTATGTCCGGGACGGGGGTTTGTTTAGACCAAATAATTAACCAAGACGCGCGACGACGTGTCCTTCCGATGGAATTTAAAGGTCACCGTCGGCCCCCCTCTCCCGTGCGGGTCTCTCGGCCGAGCGCTCGGTAGCCTGACGCGTAGGTGAGGTCAGTTGGTTGGACGCGGCCGATGTCGTCAATTGTGCGCGCACGCCGAGTTGATAAGACAGCCTGGAATTTTACGCTCGGAACCGCCTCCTTTGATTTTGAGTTGGGCGCGGCTGTAGTGTCGATGTTTTGGAAGTTACTCTCGTATAGTTTGGTCGCGTGATGACTGCCTCTAATTGGTTTGTCTTTTCGTTCGTTTTACGTGACAATGAGGCGTCTCGGGAGTTTTTGAGTGATTAAATTAACTTCTATTGCCATTAATTTGCATCGACGAGTTGTTTGTGCGTCATTTTGATATCGTAATAAGACATTTGCTTTGTCGTGTGGAACGCTGAACTTTGTGACTCGAGAAGAGATCGCGTTCGGGCTCGTGGTTATAATTTTGTGCCAAATGAACCTGGCACATTGAACTTTGACCGACCGTTCTTAAGTTGTGCAGCGTGTCGCTTGTTTTAATTTCGATTAACGTTGATTTGGTTGAATTTGAGGTTAATTAAATGTACAATAAAGTTGATAAACTTATATAGTGAAATGAAAGCAGAAGGTTTCAATTGGTGAACGCCTACTGGAGGGATCGCACATATTGGAAGAAAGCGGCACCTGTGAGTCTACTCTCAGAATACGTCGGTGCCGTCATCTACACTCATTCACACTCATTCACACTATCACACGTTACTTACATACACCTCACCTACCACCTGACTTCGCCTTGTGGTCGACCCTACCTCCGGAACTCGGTAAGTTTTTGTTTGCTTATCCAGCCCTTATATATTATAAGTATCCATAGGTCATTGGACCCGAACTCTCTGGTCGCTCGTCGAGTGTATTACTGATGGGCCCTAATACTTCTGTCTGGGCAACTGAGAGCAGTAACAGTTATTGTTGCTTGGCGACAAAAATGGGCAAGAGTGTGAGAGGTATGTACGTAACCTACCCCGACAAACTCGTATTCAAAAATGGAGTTATACTGAATGTCGTAAAACTGACAAGCGTAAAAATAGAAATATCGAAACAACTCGCAGGGATGTAAGTTTCCTCTCAAAGTTTCCCTTTTTTTTGCTGAGATCGTTTTACACAATTTAAATTGCGATAAATAATTTTACTGTTTTAGCGGAAATCGACCTCAGGTATGTAGGTAATATAGGCTAACAGTCATATCAAAACTAGTCATGTTATTTAAAATAATGTAACTTACAACGTGATCAGCGGTAAAGAAAAAAATCGCTAGAGAACCTGCATATCTGAAAAATATAAAAAAATATTTTGAAGACATGTGAAGTCTGCTAACAGGCATTGGAGCCTGTGTCCAGCTGCGGGACGTAAAAAGATTGACTATTTTACGGAATACCAACCTAATTTTTAACGATTCATCGTGTTTAATTTATTTACCGTCACCGTCACAGCCTTTCTAAAGTACACTGCTGAAAATGGAGGCCTAGGTTCGGCAGTGGACTGGACCATAGATTACCTCATAATAGGGATATTTACTATAATTGCCATGCTTGGCAAGACGGTTGGCAACTACATTTTTTCCAGTTGTTAATAGGATAGGCTGCTGCCGATCGCCTGATATGTTTATCTCTGATGCCTCTTACGACACCCACGGGCTGATATAGGGTAATAGATTTACTTACACCACCACTGTACGATTTGACACGTTCCCGACACTAGTCTCCAATAATGTGATTATTTGAGACACACATTTAATCATTATTACCAAATATTAAACAACTGTATTCACTACTTTCAGATTACGAAATGTTTGGATATAGTATTCTGCGTTCTCAGTTAAATGAATATTTAAAGGATACTATGCTGTTGAACCAAGTACCCAGGACGTTAATTAAACACTGTAATACCCAAGGGTCACTTGTTCGGCAATTCGCTCTGAAAGGCGGCTCTATTTAAACCTCTTTAAATAGCGCTAAAGTGACCCATGAATTACAATGAACTTACGAAACATTCCCAAATACCGTTTTACATCTTGAGTGAATTGATGAAATAGCTCTTCTTTTATTTTTAAATATTTTAAGATTATTTTTTAAATGCATGTATTTTTGTAATTAAATTACTTAAGGCAGTGGTGAGCAATGTACTTAAATTGCGCTTTATTAGGCAATCTAGAGACTGGAAAATCTGTATCTAGTAAATAATAGGGGAGGAGAGACGCTTACTTGGTAGAATCGCGCTGCAGCTAAGCAACTTGACCGGGGTAGATCCACACTCTCACAAAATACCAGCGGGAAACAGTAAAATAATGCTGTTGTGTTGTGTCGTATGATGAGTGTCGAGAACAATAGAGTATTTTTACTGGAAATGAAAATAATAAAATAAAATAATAAAAAATAATAACGCGATAAAATCCTTAAAAGTAGTTTTATTCAATGGAAATGAAGCATTACATCTTAGTCCTCAGGGGTAATAGTGATTCTGCATTTTGATTCTTAATCTATGATAGATGTAGATATCTAGGGGCCATAGCATCCACTTATCATTATGTGAACTGTATTCTTGTTTGCCACCTTATTCTATAAAGAAAGTACCAAGCGTGGAGATTATGGCAAACTCTCTTACTCAGATGCTCAGAGTAACAAAGAAAAATAGAGAAAACACTGTGTAAATTTCAACGACGCGTTTCATTGTTTCCGTGTTACCCTCCCGATTATATTAGCTTAGTTATGGTGTTACCCGTAAATTTGTTTAAACGTGTCTTTTGTTTGATGAGGTGTTGGTTTACAAAGACATTTAAATTTCTATAGAAATTAATAACTAAAAGTTTACCAAAGTTACTTTCCGGGTAATTCACTCTTTGTAGTGCTTTTATTAACAGAATAAAATTTTATTGTATTTTTAATGTTTCCAAGTCGGAATTCATTATTTTAACAGGTATTTTTTTTTTTCGAATATAATCTTCATCATCATTATCATTACAGCCCTTCACAAGTCCACTGCTGAATGCCTATGGCAAGTACGATCCTGAGCCACCTGCATCCATCGACTTCCTGAATGTCTTACCAGGTCGTCACTTCATCTAGTGGGGGGGGGGGGGTCGCCCTACACTTCGTCTGCCGGTACGAGGCTGCCACTCGAGATCCTTTTTTCCCCATCAGTTGTCGGTTCTTTGAGCTATATGGCCGGCCCATTGCCACTTCAGATTAGTAATCCATTTATTTTTTAGAAATGTTAGTTTTTAGAAATTACCAGCATAGGTAGATTACCGACATGGAAGTTACACATGATCGAATACAATAATTCTCTTTACATATTAAGTGTTCACATTTTATTATGTTACAGTTGTATTTACGCAGTATGTTGATCATATACTTTGCTTTGATGCCTGTGGCTGGCGTGCTCTCATATTGTTGTGAAATCTCCGGTGTGTACTTTTATACAATAGAATTCTGCAATAATTATGTATATTATATTTATTTTATTATTGATCGGTTTGTTACAGTGGTGGTCAGCGACTGCCGATCATATATTCTAGGGTTTGAATTCCGGAACAGCCCAAAAATTGATTACTGGGTTTTTCTTAATGCACTTTTTTATTAATACAGTACTCTAAAATAGTATTATATTAGTATTACACTTAAGAACCTAAACTAAATTAATTTATCTGGATGGGACAGTGGTCGTACATCAGTGATGAGGGATGTCGATAATGCTTTTTGAGTTTCGATTTAAAATAACAAATTTCATTTATTTAATTAAACTTAGATGCACAGTTAGTAGAATATAATATTATTTAACGATAAGATTTAAAAAAATGTCTTATGTTAAGTAATCCTAATTTTAAATTAAGAACAACAATATAAATTTTTATGTTACTAATTTTGCAGCTCCATCACCTATCACATGTGGGATCAATGAAGAATACGTGCCATGTAGGATAAAATGCATACCACAGTTTTGTAACATATCATATGTAGATTTTATTTGTCCTGATGATAATCAGTGTGAACCCGGATGTAACTGTATAAAAGATCATTTGCGCAATAACGAAGGAATTTGTGTTTTTAACGAAGAATGTCCACCACGTATGTATTTTACGTTAAAAAATATATTTTAAGATTAGCGACCCACCCTGCTTTCGCCTGGGTAGTATAAATGTAGACTAGTATATATTACTGTAGCGTTATTTAGATAGCCCTGAATGACCTTGACGAAACGAAGACCATTACTTTTATCCATTTATCGTTTTTGAAAAACATCTGTGCAGTTCACACGCGGTAGAAGAGAAACCTTCAAAAAACTAAACTTCGAGTATTAGCAGCAGGATAACTGTAGGGTTTATTTATTTATTTATTTACTCTTTATTGTACACCAAAAAACAAAAAAAAATGAGTACAGTTAAATCTAAAGTAGAATATGTACAACAGCGGTCTTATCACTCTGAAAGTGATCTCTTCCAGACAAACTCAGCATAGAGAACTGATGCAAACAATAGTTAAAAATAGAGGGGGCGTACAAAATAAAAATAAAAATATGAAAATACATATAAATAAAGATAAGTGAAGATTATGTATGATATCATATAATAGATTAAATGAAAAAAGTACGAAAAAGGAAGAGTAATTTATTTAATAGTAATACGATAAGTAATACGATTTAACAAGACTTTTGAAAGGATGAAGAGATTGAGTACGACAAATGTGGAGAGGTAAAGAGTTCCACAAACGTACAGCAGTTACAGTAAAGGATTTCTTAAAAAAGGATGAAGAGTGCGAAGGAGTAGAGAGAGAAAGATTGACAGAGGATCGAAGGAACCGATTATGGGTAAGGGAAAGATACTGGAAACGGTCTTTTAAATAATGAGGAGTGGAAGGATTAAACAGCACGCCATAGAAAGTGGAGAGAATGTGAGTATTCCTGCGAAGGCGGATCGGGAGCCATTTGAGCTGTTTGCGAAATTCAGAAATATGATCATATTTGCGAAGCCCAAATATAAATCTAATACATAAATTTTGAATGCGCTCAAGCTTATTAAGCTGCTCCTCGGTAATGTTAAGATAGCAAATACCATTAAAGTCAAGGATAGGCAGAAGTAGAGACTGGGCGAGCGTAACTTTAGTTACTGTGGGAAGAAAATTACGTAATCTACCAAAGAGCTTAAAGCAGCAAACATTTTTCTACTAACCTCATTAACCTGTGAGGTCCAAGACATACAAGAGTCAAGATACAACCCCAGGTTTTTAACCTTGTTACTGTAAGGGATTTGAATACAGTCTAGTAAATAGGATGTAGGGAAGACCAGTCAATTTTTCCAATTAATCTAGAACTACCGATGACAATGGCCTGAGTTTTCTTAGGATTAATCGTTAAACTATAACGTTTACTCCGGTTCGAAATACAAGTCAGATCAGCGTTAATAGTGTCAACTGCTTTAGACAAATCTTCAAGAGAGGATTGAGTAAAGATTTGGAGATCATCAGCATACAAGTGGTAGGAAGAGGACGGTAGTAGTCCAGGTGGAAAAAACATCTTGCACCTGGATGCGCTGTCGGCGACCAAACAAGTGACTTCGAAACCAGTCTACTACAGTTGGAGATATGTTGAGAAAGCGCAGGATGTCCAACAAGATATCAAAATCTACTGTATTAAATGCATTATTTATTATAATATAAAAATATTTAGGGTTTATTCAGTATTATATTATATGTAAATTATTTTACATTTTATTCTACATATATTACATTACATATTATACAAACTCCATGTTTTCAATTTCATCATCTTAAGTACTTATAGCTTAAGAGCCAGTGAGCGGCAGACTTACGGTTATCAATAAGCTTCACTTTTTTCTCAGTTAATCCCCTATACCTGAAGTACATGAAACGGGGACTCTTTAGTTTGACCGGCGGTCGATATAGAGACATTCAGGTGTTAATGGTGTAAAAAATGACCCAAAAAACGTGATAGCAATAAGTCTGCCGCTTTGGCATCTTGAAATATTTAATAAAAGTTACCGAAAAATAACATTGACAGAAACCTATGACGGTTTCAAGGTCATGGCAGACAGGTTGAAAAGTACAATTTTTTATTAATAATTTACGTTATTTCAATAAAGCTGCAATTTATATATATTGTTGCTAATGTTATTTGACATGTATAATTTTCACGGCAGACACATATTGTGGTTGTATCACCCAGGCAGACAACAAATTTCTGGGGCGCCCATAAGCGCGTACTGTAATAGCGCCCGCTCTAATCCAGTATTTTTCTTTCTAGTTTTGTACGCTCTGATACGGATATCATAATAATCATGCTTGGTAATATGCTACAATTAAAAAATAGCTCTTCTCAATTATGGATTCTCACGGGAACAGGAAATAATGAATGATTCATAAATATTAAAAAAAATTATAAGCAACGTGGTGATTTATTCAGTGAAAGTTTGTTTGGTTTCTATGCATTTATGGGCTGTGATTATAATCCAGTTTTTTTAATAAGGGAAGAAACTTTTAACTTAACTTAAGAAACCCTTACTACAGAAAACTCAGGCATACCAAGAACCCTTCGCAGCTGTTGGTGACAGTAATTTAGCTGAGAAGCAAAAACAACAGCTTTTTAATGTTGTCCAAAGGTTTACTTGTCAAATATATAATGCAAAGAAATCAGTAGATGTAGATGATGGCAGGTTCCATCTTTTTATAAATTATTATAGACCAAAAGATCTTAATGAAAAATTTAGTAAGAAATTACACTGTTTTGATGGAAGCTCGTTACCACCGTGTAAACGTGAGCTGTATCAGCAATTTTTACTAATTAATATATAGCATTTGGAAAAATGCTCACTAAATATATCCAGTATTATTAGACCTACTGGAGCGCGGCTGGATTGAAGAAAATGATACGTATATATTTAAATGGTTTGACGGAGATCAGTTGCCCAGTTTTGTGAACGAATTAGTCGCAGATCTATTAGGTAATTTTCTTTTATAAGAATTTATACTTTTAAATTATTTATTTTATTATAATTGGCTTGATTTACAAATTGAATCTTATTATTTGCAAAAATAATAACTTCTGATGCTGAGAATGTAGATTTCGATGGAATTGTTGCATCTGACGATGAACCTGAGGGCTGCAACTCCGGTAGCTAAGAATAATATGATTTGAATATTCTTAAAATTATTGACTTTTTAATAAAATGTGTAGTAAACATTTTCATGAATAAATTGATATTATTATGACATCACAACATTAAAACATAAACAAATAAATATTACTATTGTGCGCTTACGAGTATTCGACATTTGTTTATTTTATTACCCGTAATTATTATTAATTGCAATCAATATGAAACGATCGTATTTACTTTTAATTAAATATTTTTTTTTAAATTGATCTAACGACTGTATAAGAGCGAGCGCATTATAGTAAACTTTTGGACAACATTAAAAAACTGTTGTTTTTGGTTCTCAGCTAAATTACTGTCAACAAAAGCTGCGAAGGGTTCTTGGTATGCCTGAGTTTTCTGTAGTAAGGTAAAGGGTCGTTTTTTCCCTTATTAAATAGCTGGATTATAATCACAGCCCGTAAATGCATAGAAACCAAGCAAAATTTCACTCAATAAATAACCACGTTGCTCATAATTTTTTTAAATATTTATGAATCGTTCATTATTTCCAGTTCCCGTGAGAATCTATATTTGAGAAGAGCTATTTTTTCTGCCGACTTCCAAAAAGGAGACGGTACTCAATTCGACTGTATGTTTTTTATGTGTGTTACCTCATAACTTTTTACTGGGTGAACCGATTTCGATGATTCTTCTTATATTTGAAAGCTGATACTTCTCGTGTGGTCCCATATGATTTTGATTAAGGTGAAACTAATAGTTTTTGAGTTATTCTTAATAACTGATATTGAAGTCGGCTGTCCAAAATTTTTAATTTTAAATTATTAAATGTAGCATATTACCAAGCATGATTATTATGATATCCGTATCAGAGCGTACAAAACTAGAAAGAAAAAGACTGGACTAGAGCGAGCGCTATTATAGTACGCGCTTATGGGCGCCCCAGTAATTTGTTGTCTGCCTGGGTGATACAACCACAATATGTGTCTGCCGTGAAAATTATACATGTCAAATAACATTAGCAACAATATATAAATTGCAGCTTTATTGAAATAACGTAAATTATTAATAAAAAATTGTACTTTTCAACCTATCAGCCATGACCTTGAAACCATCATAGGTGTCTGCCAATGTTATTTTTCGGTAACTTTTATTAAATATTTCAAGATGTCAAAGCGGCAGACTTAATGCTATCACGTCTTTTAAGTCATTTTTTTACACCATTAACACCTGGGCGTCTCTATATCGACCGCCGGTCAAATTAAAGATTCCCCGTTTCACATACCTCAGGTATAGGGAATTAACTGAGAAAAAAGTGAAGCTTATTGAAATACCGTAAGTCTGCCGCTCACTGGCTCTTAAGCTATTAAATATTTTCTAATCAACAAATTTCGTACTTGATCTTTACTGCTCATAGATCACATGCATAATTTCCATACACAAAAGGAAACAATGTTTATTGTATTATATTTTATTTTCTCGCAGGCTAGGCTGTGACGCTCACACGAGTTCAATGCTTTTTCCCATCTGAAAATTGCCCAATGCGCCTAAAGAAGTTTTCACTTCAGAAATGTCCAACATTTTCGTATATAGCCTAGATCACCTCTGGCATTACTCTCTATCTGTTCGTTAAGTTTCATTACAATCAGATATGCCGAAGATTAGTCACGCGAGTTCAGTGCTTTTTCCCATCTCAAAATTGCCCAATGCGCCTAAAGAAGTTTTCACTTCAGAAATGTCCAACATTTTCGTATATAGCCTAGATCACTTCTGGCATTACTTTCTATCTGTTCGTAAAGTTTCATTACAATCAGATATGCCGAAGATTAGCCTGTACAGACAGAAATACATTTATATGTGGTAGCGCCACGCTGCAACTATATTATGGTTATAGCACGAAGTGGGTCGGCGCGACCGGGGTGTCCTACCTCGCTCTCACAAAATACCAGCGTAAAATAAGCTTAATAAAGCTTAATGCTACTGTGTTTCGTATGGTGAGTGTAAAGAAACGGAGATCCTTTTTACTGAAACTGGCATTCCATCTTAGTCCTTAGAGGTGACAACTCATCTGCGAATAATTTTTTAATCGAGGATAAATGTAGATGTCTGTGGGATTCAACATCTCTTACCATCAGGTGGGCTGAGTGTTCGATTGTCAACCTTATTCTATTAAAAAAGACTTTTTTAATGGTTATTTATATAGCACGCAAATAACACCCTAAACTTAATAGAAGCCAGTTATTTCCATATTACAGACATACACTTCTTTTATTTATAAGTATAGATACGTATTGTGACTACATTAAACCATTATTTGTTATTAGTAAAATTGCATCCAGAAAAATATTAGATGGTTATTTAGTAATATATATTTTAGTTAAATGACTAACAACCTTGTAGTTTTTATAACAAATGACCTCTGCAGCAAATGGGCACATGTTGTCAGGTGACATTCACAATGCGACTATTGTGGCTGTAGCATACTCTCAAAGAATTCCACCGTCTTAAGTGACGAGACAGTAACATTAAACACACAACAACAAACACAAACAACAGTAAATTTTACCACCCCCATGACCCATGGGTCGTGAAACGCGATAAAAACCGTAAAATTAGTTTCATTTATTTCATTCAGTTGAGTTTCTGATATGAGCTGGTGAGGCTAAGGTAAAGTCAAAATCAATGGAATAAAACATCAACATTTTATCGTAGAATTGCTATTCTATTTTCAACTCTTTATTATTAAGAAATAAATAATTGCTTTGTTTTCTTATAGCGCCTCAAATACCCTCCTGCGGAGACAATGAAGTTGGAAGTACCTGTAGAAAGACGTGTCCCCCAGAGAGTTGCGACTTCGACCCTACGAAACAAGCTTGTAAACCGGGGCCTTGCCAACCTGGGTGTAATTGTATTGAAAATTATTTGAAGGATGCAACGGGAAAATGCGTTCCGAAAAACCAATGTCCAAAGAGCAATATGTGCAGTAAGTAATTTGGTGCAAATAGTTTATTAATGACTAGCTGATACCCGCGACTTCGTCCGCGTTGCTTGATATATCAACAAACTTTTCGTATATGCGAAAGAAAAAAAATCAATAAGATTGAGAGCCAAAAATACTTTGCTTACAAAATTGTTGTTTATTAAAAGTTTAAGAACTTTATATATATATGTGTGTACAAATACCCTGTGGTTCCCGTTAAGTGCCCAATGCGCCTAAAGAAGTTTTCACTTCAAAAATGTCCAAGATTTTCGTATATAGCCTAGATATCTCCTGGCATTTCTCTCTATCTGTTCGTAAAGTTTCATTACAATCAGATACGCCGAAGATTAGTCACGCGAATTCAGTGCTTTTTCCCATCTCAAAATTGCCCAATGCGCCTAAAGAAGTTTTCACTTCACAAATGTCCAAGATTTTCGTATATAGCCTAGATATCTCTTGGCATTTCTCTCTATCTGTTCTTAAAATTTTCATTACAATCAGATACGCCGAAGATTAGTCACGCGAATTCAGTGCTTTTTCCCATCTCAAAATTGCCCAATGCGCCTAAAGAAGTTTTCACTTCACAAATGTCCAAGATTTTCGTATATAGCCTAGATATCTCTTGGCATTTCTCTCTATCTGTTCTTAAAATTTTCATTACAATCAGATACGCCGAAGATTAGTCACGCGAATTCAGTGCTTTTTCCCATCTCGAAATTGCCCAATGCGCCTAAAGAAGTTTTCACTTCACAAATGTCCAACATTTTCGTATATAGCCTAGATCACTTCTGGCATTATTCTCTATCTGTTCGTTAAGTTTAATTACAATCAGATATGCCGAAGATTAGTCACGCCAGTTCAGTGCTTTTTCCCATCTCAAAATTATCCGATGCGCCGAAACAAGTTTTCACTTCTCAAATGTCTAACATTTTCGTATATAGCCTAGATCACTTCGGGCATTACTCTCTATCTGCTCGTTAAGTTTCATTACAATCAGATATGCCGAAGATTAGTCACGCGAGTTCAATGCTGTTTCCCATCTCAAAAGTGCCTAATGTGCCTAAAGAAGTTTTCACTTCAAAAATGTCTAACATTTTCGTATATAGCCTAGATCTCTTCGGGCATTACTCTCTATCTGTTCGTTAAGTTTCATTACAATCAGATATGCCGAAGATTAGTCACGCGAGTTCAGTGCTTTTTCCCATCTCAAAATTGCCCAATGCGCCTTAAGAAGTTTCACTTTACAAATGTCCAACATTTTCGTATATAGCCTAGATCACTTCAGGCATTACTCTCTATCTATTCGTTAAGCTTCATTACAATCAGATATGCCGAAGATTAGTCACGCGAGTTCAGTGCTTTTTCCCATCTCAAAATTGCCCAATGCGCCTTAAGAAGTTTTCACTTTACAAATGTCCAACATTTTCGTATATAGCCTAGATCACTTCAGGCATTACTCTCTATCTGTTCGTTAAGTTTTATTACAATCAGATATGCCGAAGATTAGTCACGCGAGTTCAATGCTGTTTCCCATCTCAAAAGTGCCTAATGTGCCTAAAGAAGTTTTCACTTCAAAAATGTCTAACATTTTCGTATATAGCCTAGATCTCTTCGGGCATTACTCTCTATCTGTTCGTTAAGTTTCATTACAATCAGATATGCCGAAGATTAGTCACGCGAGTTCAGTGCTTTTTCCCATCTCAAAATTGCCAAATGCGCCTTAAGAAGTTTCACTTTACAAATGTCCAACATTTTCGTATATAGCCTAGATCACTTCAGGCATTACTCTCTATCTATTCGTTAAGCTTCATTACAATCAGATATGCCGAAGATTAGTCACGCGAGTTCAGTGCTTTTTCCCATCTCAAAATTGCCCAATGCGCCTAAAGAAGTTTTCACTTCACAAATGTCCAACATTTTCGTATATAGCCTAGATCACTCGTGGCATTACTCTCTATCTGTTCGTAAATTTTCATTACAATCAGATATGCCGAAGATTAGCCTGGACAGACAGACATATATTTGTACGTGGTAGAGCCACGCCGGAGCTATGTTATGGTTATAGCACGAAATGGGTCGGCGCGACCTGGGTGTCCTACCTCACTCTCACAGAATACCAGTGTAAAATAGCAGCTTAATGCTGCTGAGTTTCGTGAGTTTGAAGTGAGTGTAGAGAACCGGAGATCCTTTATAGTATAACTGGCATTCCATCTTAGTCCTTAGAGGTGACAACTCATCTGCTTTTTGATTTTTAATCGAGGATAAATGTAGATGTGTGTGGGCCCAAACATCTCTTACCATCAGGTGGGCTGAGTGTTCGATTGTTAACCTTATTCTAGTAAAAAAGCCACCAAGACATATAGATAGACATACAGAGAGACAAACAGACAGAGAGGTGACTTTTTTAATAGTTATTTATATAGCACGCAAATAACGCTTTAAGCTTAATACTCGTAGAAGCCAGATATTTCCATAATACAGAAATACACTTCTTATATTTATAAGTATAGATACGTATAGTGACTACAATATACCATTATTTGTTATTAGTAAAATTGCACCCAGAAAAATACTACATGGTAATTTAGTAATATAAATTTTATTTAAATGACTAACAACCTTGCAGTTTTTATAACCAATGACCTCTGCAGCAAATGGGCACATGTTATCAGGTGACATTCACAATGCGACTATTGTGGCTGTAGCATACTCTCAAAGAATTCCAGCGTCTTAAGTGACGAGACAGTAACATTAAACACACAACAACAAACACAAACAACAGTAAATTTTACCACCCCCATGACCCATGGGTCGTGAAACGCGATAAAAACCGTAAAATTAGTTTCATTTATTTCATTCAGTTGAGTTTCTGATATGAGCTGGTGAGGCTAAGGTAAAGTCAAAATCAATGGAATAAAACATCAACATTTTATCGTAGAATTGCTATTCTATTTTCAACTCTTTATTAAGTAAAAAAAAAAAAATTGCTTTGTTTTCTTATAGCGCCTCAAATACCCTCCTGCGGAGACAATGAAGTTGGGAGTACATGTAGAAAGACGTGTCCCCCAGACAGTTGCGACTTCGACCCTACAAAACAAGCTTGTAAACCGGGGCCTTGCCAACCTGGGTGTAATTGTATTGAAAATTACTTGAGGGATGCAACGGGAAAATGCGTTCCGAAAGACCAATGTCCAAAGAGCAATATGTGCAGTAAGTAATTTTGTTCAAATAGTTTATTAATGACTAGCTGATACCCGCGACTTCGTCCGCGTTGCTTGATATATCAACAAACTTTTCGTATATGCGAAAGAAAAAAAAATCAATAAGATTGAGAGCCAAAAATACTTTGCTTACAAAATTGTTGTTTCTTAAAACTTTATATTAAATGAAGATATCTCAATAATTTTAGATAAGGGCCAAGTGTCTAAGAAATAAAACCTAATTGAAATCTATCCGGTAGTTTTTCCGTAATGCGCGCACAACTGCAAACCTCTATAATTTTATTGATACAGATGTGCACCACGAGATTCATGGTGCTGAGCACAAAATAGACAAAAAAAACTTTTCTTCTAGGTATTTATCATATTAATATGATAAAGGAATTTAGAAATAAAGGAATTTTTCCAGATGATACATTCATAAGCTTATCTTATGTCGATGTTAATGAGGATACAGACGAATTTTTATTGTTGGTGCGGCCGATGATGTACATTACATAGTATAAAAAACAACGTTTAGGAATTAATAATGAAATTTAATTGAATTTATAGTTCCATCAAAGAGATGCGGAATCCCATATAAATGTAGACGTACTTGTGCCGAACCAAATCCCCCAAACTGTCCTGCTTATTCAAATGTGTCCGAGAACGTAAAAGGATGTAAATGCAAGCCAGGGTTTATTCTGACGAAAAAAATAGATGGGGAATGTGTAAGAATTGAAGATTGTTCGCGTAAGTAGCTAAATTTCATTTTCATTACATAAATCCCATCCCTGCTTATGCCACTCAATATTTTCATGACAATAAAAGTCCTTACTAGCGGGGTACGTCGTCGATTTCTAGTCAATACGGAAAACGCTTCCGGGTCTCTGGCAGATTACTTCATTATTAAATTATTATATTTTTCTAATATTGTTAATTATTTATTATTATTTATTTTGAATTCTGAGTTCAAAATTAAACTTTTGGTGTGTTTGTATAAGATACTCATCTATTACGTTTACCGTTTCCAATTTCAGAACAACAGGGATGCAATGGAGACAATAACGCCCACATTACTAAGTATCCTGCCCCATGTCCTTCCACTTGCCAGTCTCCAAATCAAGTGCCTTGCAAAAAAGCATATTTAGATGTTGGTTGTTCGTGCAATGATGGATATATACTGTCCAAATTGAATGGAAAATGTATGAAACCAAATGATTGTCCAGGTTCGATATTATTGTTTTTAATATCTATACACACATAATAAAACTCGAATAAGGTATTTATCCAACATTAAATGTTGTAATTAAAATATAAATTATGGGTTAAACTAGGCTAAATTATTAATATCAAGCACATAAAGCATTTTTAAATAGTCTTTTAATCTGTATACATAACCTGTATATCGTGTTAAAACCACAATTTATTGTGATAGAGCCACGCTGCAGCTATAATATAGTTGTAGCACGAGTGGGTTGGCTTGACTAGGGTAGGACCACTCTCTCAGAGAATACCAGCGTAAAATAGCAGCTTAATGCTGTTGTGTTTCGTATGTGAGCAATGTAATGATGTATTGAGATGTGTGATGGGGTGAGTGTAAAGAACCGGAGACCCTTTTTACTGGAAACGAGATATTTCATCTTAGTCCTCAGGAGTGATATGGCATCTGCATTTTAATTCTTAATTGAGGTTAAATATAGATGTCTTTGGGCCACAGAATCCACTTAGGTACCATCCGGTGACTGTGTGCTCGTTTGTCATCCTTATTCTATAAAAAAAAAACTATCGGAACTTTATTCTGCCTCGTAAGCAGGACTTTTTTCATTAAATTTTTTTTCTAGTTATGGAATTATCATTAATAAACTTACTAATATATTGTATGTTGTGATTGTGTCTACCTCATTGGTGTAGTGGCCGTAAAACGCGGTTGCTAAGCGGTTGCGAATCCCAGGTCAGGCCAAAATCAGTAATTGGATTGTGCTGTCAAGAAATTCTCAGTAGCAGCCTCGGATCAGAAAGTCGGCTGTGTTTTTCAGGTCCGTGCCTCGGAATACCTAGTGTACGTGTGCTTGCGCACATACACTCAGGCACCATAATTCTGTCCTGATGGCTATATTTCGTTGAGACTGGCCGCTGTGAACGAATGTCGTACTGATGGACATTATTGTTATTATATTGTGTGTAACTGACTATTACATATGTATTATTTACTATTAATTATTGCTTATCCTATAAAAAGGAAGACTATTATGTAAAATCTTGGTAGGGTAGATCTTAATTAGGTACGGTAAGATGTAACATCTTTGACCTTTAAATATTTATATAATTAATGTAAATTCTTTTTTGATTTAGGAGCAATATGTTAATATTATGGAAAAAAGGTTATAAGACGAAATTTCACGCGAGCAAAGCCACGGACACTAGATAGTTATTTCATAATCTCGTTTCTGTATTCTTAGTGCTTATGTTCTCCCTTTGAAAATAATGAAATTCCACATTATTGCATATATTTTTTTAGGTGGCAACCCATGTGGAAGAAATGCGACATTTCAAATTTGTGACAATAGATGTGCTTACAACTATTGCCCAGTGGATGATTCGCAAGCTGATTATAGTTGTGTACCTCCATCGCCTTGCCCATCCGGGTGCGTTTGCAATTTGAACTATAGAAAAAAAAGTATGAATGAGAACAAGTGTATCCTGGCATCTGAGTGTAGTAAGTTAAATAAAATTTATTAATAAAGGAATGATTTTCAATCATCAGATAATAGTTATTCATAGGATGAAATAAGAAAGAAAAAATTATAGTTAGCAAGTATGAACAAAATAATGCAATTGGTTCACTTTTATATTTAGTGAGGTTATAATTTAGTTGATGGATAACTTTTATATGATGATTGATGATTAAAAAATAAGTCCTAAATAATAATAATAATAGTATATCATTTTCTTAATAGTGTCCTGTTTAGTGTTTGTCGATACAATTACAAAAATATTTCGTATTTTCAAAAACTTTGCAACACTCATGCTCCAGTCGGTCAACAACGATTGGTTCGTTGTTATAAATGTTTAATTTAATATGCATTGAATAAATTTCAAAATTCACTGTTTTATTTAGCGCCAGTTAATTGTACCCGACCCAGTGAAGATTATAGTAATTGTCCATCGGCCTGCTTGAGGGAAGGTTGCGAATTTGCTGGTGAAGAACCACCTGTATGCAACACACTTGTTTTAAACTGCCAACCACAGTGTATTTGCAAGCCAAATACTTTTCGAAACGAGAATAACATTTGCGTTCCGGTTGAACAATGCCGTAAGTAAATGCTTTATGAACTCATACATTGGTGCATCGTCAGTACTACTGTGATTGTTTAATATGCAGGTGTTACAGTACCCATCCAATAGTGAATTAAAGTTACAGCCTATCTACGTCCACCGCTTAGACACAGGCCTTCTTTCATTTCTGAGACGGTTATGAGCAATTTGTCTGGCAGGCTTGCTAGCAGACTTCACAGGTCCTCGAAATATTACATTCCTACGTAATGCAGGTTCTTCAGAATGATTTATTCATATTCGATCTTCAAAGCATCTGATAAATTAGTACCTGAAATTTCATGTATTGCTGCACAATTAAAAGCTGGGCGGTGAAGCTTATGTCGAGTGCTTAGTCTAACCTAGTAGCTTAGCTTCTGAACTCTCTCATGGCACTCATCAATAGAATTTAAAACAATTAACATGTGCTTTTTTAAATTTTTATAAGGTAATTAAATCTATAAAAGTTATATTACTATAGAAGTTCTTATTTAAAATTTGAAGACTCGGTCGCGCAGTGTTAGTTTTATTCGTCACTTTCATTGCTGCGGGTTCAAACCTCACACGGATTTAGTTTTTGTATTACCTACAAGTAACTATTGCGGTTCTGGACTTATGAACTCTGGATTTATGAACGTCAAACGCCTCCACGATGCAGGTTGATTGTTAGTTAACGAAGTTGGAGGTTAGTTAACGAAGTTGGAGTTTGAAGATTAGTTAACGAACGCTACTTTCAACTTTCAAATATAAAGCATTGATCCGATCTACGCAAGACGAACTTACGGTATATATACTTTTATTAATTACGAGATCTCTAGCAGATAGTAGCAGTCAGTCATCTTCTCCATTAAAATTTGATTGATTTAATATTTCAATAGCGTCACAAATCATCCACGATAGCAATCGGTGCATTTTTGTGAGGTTTAGTGGTCTATTAAATCTGAGGTAATAGGACTATCCTGGACATGTTGACTTACTACACACTTCCCGGAGCGTCGGTGTTTCAGATCAGCTACAAGTTATTTTATGCAGGGTTTTTTTTAAATTGTTTATGTTGTATATTATTCCATGAATAACTTTTATCGATGATTGAACAATCAATTCTTATAGAAATTATGTCACAAACTTAATTCCAAAAATATACGGGATTAGTAAAATTAAATTTATCGTTCATTTTAAACTAGTCCTAGATTAGAAATTTATTGAAGTTACCGTCGTTTTTTTTAAAATTCTTAATACAATATTTATTGCAGCAAAGAAGAAACCTCAACCATATGACTGAACTTTTAGATGACTGCACAAGAAATATTGAGCTTAAACTGTCCAATGTGTAATGTTTTAAAATGTAATAAAATTTTTGCAGCATCTTAACAATTTTTTATGAGTTCTAGTTATCTTCATGCACATTAAATATATGACTGTTATAGTACAGGGGCTGTGTGCTTGATTTCAATTTCATAGTACGAGAAACCTGAGTTTAATCAGCGCCAGTACAACTGTGATTGTTACCTGCAATTCAACAAACGAGCATACAGTCCACTTGATGGAAAATGGATGCTGTGGCCCATAGACATTTACATTAATCTTCGATTAGGAATTAAAATGCAGAATGCGTTGTTTTTCCTGAGGACTAAGGCCCCTAAGCATCGCAGTGTTCATGGGCGATAGTTAATACCCATAGCTAACCTCTGATAAATGTAGTGTGTACCCAAACTGCTGTCATGAAACAGCGTCAAAGGTGTCGAAGATTTGTTAATCGTGATGATACCACTCATTCCTAACAATAATTATATTAAAAATATTTAAAAAAAAACATTTGTCATTTTTCAACATTGGCAGTGCCCACAAAGATAGACGTTAAAACACTCGTACCTTTCAAATGATGCCGAAATCATGCTCAAATTATTGTAAGAAGTGTAAGTGAAGAAGTATGTGTCCAAATGTAAACTTTTAGGGGCTGATAAAGAAAGAAAGAAAGAAAAAGAAATATGTGAGCATGGTTTCAGCGTCACTTAAAATTTACGTAGTGTTCTGTCTATCTTTTGTTGCAGGTCATAGTTTTGAATTAAGAATAATTAACTATATTTTCTAAGTATGATGTGTTATATTTTTGAATAAAATACATTAAAGTAGGTACTTAAACATGCTGTCATGTTTTAGAACTGTGAACAAAAGTTTTCTCAGGGATCATCAGTTCTTCACTGTATTTTGAACACGACTCGATTAAGTCCATTAGTAAATTGAATTTTCTAAATGCTTCACTAGATAAACAGTACGACGCATACTTCTCTTATCAGCCTTTTAAATCTACAGTTGTTTAAAAAGGCCTATTTAAGAATGGGACAAATGACGTATATCTTGTAAAATTTGCACAGGTCTTCTCACGATATTTTCAACCACTGCTAAACACGTGGAGCACCTAAGATAATAATGTATAATTAAATCAGTGCCGGCTGGGATCGAACCCGTTTTCCAATTTACGTTGAGGTTGTTAACATTGTTTTTAATATTTTGTAAAATTAATTTTGGGATTGAGATGGAATGAAATGTAATTAAAAACATTACATATAATCATCATAATTTCGGCAAGGCAGGATAATAATTTTATTGGCATGCTGGAAAAAAGATACTATTATTTTGAATTAGATAAAAATTATAACGCAATTACAATGTCGAAAGAATAAATGTTCATTCTAACCCATCAACCGCTTAGAGTTCTAAATTAAAAATGTCCTCTAAATTCAAAGTTAAATCATAAATGTTCACTAATCTCACATCATCTTACCAACCTTAGTAATATATGAGGGCCGTAAAATGAAAGTTTGGACTTGCAAATTATAAATCACTTAGTTGTAGCGATATTTCTCTTCTTAACATGGACCTCTCGCTGAGATTGCTCTCATGGGTGTAATTATTAAATAATGGGACTTGTATTTGAAAGTGTGTGTTAGCACATGAGGGTATTTTTACAATAGTTGTGTCGTTATTCGCAGGTTTTTGAATCAAGATGTTCGAGCAATATTATGCTATTTCTTTGTTCTATGTTCTCGTATATCAAATGTATAACCGCGGTCGCCAAGAAGGTCTGACAAGACTGGCAACTATGCCAAATCTCTTCTCATGGATATGTAGATGGGAGGCCTATATTTAGCAGTGGACCACGCTTTCACTGTATGCCAGCGTAAAATTGCAGATGAATGCTCCCGTGTTTTCTATGATCATGTAAAAGTAGGGTTCCGTAGTTGCCCGTACAATACGTGAACTTTGAAGGGGCCTTCTGGATAATATGAGTATAAGTGAGTTCGTTGTTTGGCCGCTATAACGGTTAATAAAATGGGCCCAAATAAGACGATGGTTTCTAAAGGGCCTATTTTCCACTCAGACTTATAGGAAGTGGTATACAAAGACGATAAAAAAACTTTTCGATTTTCAAAATAGAATAATCTACATAAAATTCATTCACATGCCAGGTTTGTATAAAAATGGTCATAGTTTCTTATACATGTATTAGTTCCTGGCAGTGCAACCCTGGGATATACATGACCGTAACAAACCTTCCCGTAAACCACCACTACCCTAAACTATCCCGAAGGTCGCCAGCGTAAACCAAGACTACTGCGAATGAAACTTTGAGGCTGTATGAATGTATGAATACTGTGAATGAAACCTACAACATCTACCAACTAAAGAATAAGCGAAATTGGTATGTCAGGATCGATCTCTTCACCATCGATCCTCTCTGCCTACCCCGCAAAGGAAAAAGTAAACCTATAGTAGTAATGCATAAGTCGTTTTCTTTAAGAAATGTTTATTTCCTATAGTTTAAAATGTTATGACTACTAATACAGTGAAACTAAATATTTCCTTATAAATAAGTAGTTGTTCAAACTCGTTTTACCCAGAATCTGGTAGTTTAGCCTGTTTAGGGGTAGTTTCTAACCCTAAAAAGTGAATTTCCACAGTGCTACAAGAAAGCAGACATAAATACGAGTATTTAAAAATATGATTTCATTTGGATTAGATTTACTGCATCGTTCGTAGTTTTGATCGTTTCCGTCCACTGTGCGGCGGTGTAAGAATATTCACTAACCCACATCATCCAATAAGTGTCGTAAGAGGCAGCAGAGGGAAACAAATCAGGAGATGGACAGCAGCGTCTTCCTAATAACGACGAAAAACTGCGGTGGCCAACCCGCTTCTCAGGTGTTGTATATATGCCAAATATGTGTGCCTAGGAGGTAATCTATGGAGGAGGCATATGTTCTGCTGTGGACTTTAATAGGCTGTAGCGGCGGTAACAATAATATTACAAAGTAACAATATTATTACATATTAGACGGCTCCATGGCGCAGTGGCTTAACAATGAGTTGATGCGCTGGGGGCCGCGGGTTCGAATCTCGCACGAAAAAAGTATTTGTATGGCCTACAAATAATTGTTCCGGGTCTGGTTGTTTGTCCTCGTGCCATCTATGTTTGTAAACTGCCTCCACGATACAGGAGAAAATCCTAGTGTGGGGGTAACGTCTTTTAAAAAAAATTATAATGCAGCTAGGTTTAGGTTATTTTATATAGAATTGTAACGAATTTTTTACTGATCCAAATGCATTTTATAAGTTGGTAGCGACTATTACTCGTTAAGTTGTTAAGCCTGCTTAGATATGACAGTTTTCCTTTTAACCTCATTATATATACTACCACAGTCTATAAATCCATACGGTCGTCCGACGAAGACGTCTAGACAGGGCAATCGTGCGGGGTGTGAGGGGTGAGACGCGGGAAGGACGAGCTCGAGCTGCTTATGCCAATCGTATTAGAAGCTCGGGACATGACTTCCAGGGTTAACGCGCGTTTGCTTTTATAATTTTTAAATTTATGTTTTATTATTTATGTTGATACTTATAATTACAATGGTTCATACGACGTGTGCTGTGAGAGATTGCAAGTCGTCATCTCGCATAAATAAAGATCTGCGATTTCACCAAATCGCGCACACGGAAGAAAGGTAAAT